GATTTCGACAGCTCTCGCGATTCCCCAGGTGGAATTTTTTTCCGATTTCGATTTCAGCAAAAATCGACGAAGTTATCGCCGAAAAACTGGATTAGAGAGACCATTTTGTTCACTTTTTCCCTCCGACATTCAACCAATGAGCTCCAAAAAGACCACGGCAATTGATTCCTCTCGAAATTCCCCAGATGGAATTTTTTTCCGATTTTCCGAAAAAAATCTGGTTCGCGAGATATTCGGCATTTTGTTTTGCCGATGGGCGGCGATTTGTTCCTGCCACTCACGCACACACGCACGCACACATAGCGCTTGTGCGAGGGTGTGCCCTCGCCCATACGCCCTACTGCGGCACTCAGCACCCGCAGCAGTCATGGACACGAAGAAGAAACGTGGCAGACCACCAAAGCGAGGCAGGTTCAAAGGCAAATTTCAGAGCCATGAACCAGCTGTCGCTGCTCCCGAGCCATTGGACGACAGCACATCTTCTCCGATGGAAGTCGTTGACGAACCACACGACGACCACGACGAAGCCTGGTGCGACGAAGACGCCGGTGCCGCCTCGGGTGGAAGTCAGGCCACACTGTCTTTCGGGTCCGCTGCTGCTCTCGGTGAGTCTCCAGCAGCTTGCGCCGCACTGTCTTGGGTTCGCGAGGTTGCGCCGCCTCGGCGTGCGGAGGGACCTTGTCGGCAGACTCTCAGCCGTCGCAGACAGGTTGCGCTAGGGGCTGCGAAACGTCAGATGGCGAGCTATATGGCCGGCTGGCTGACGCGTGGAGCGGAGCAGCAGTCACAGCAGTCATTACCTCAAAGTTCGGAGACGCAACGTGCGGCGGAACCACTGCTTGAAGAGGACGACAGCAGTGCGGTGCCTGCTGCTGCGTGCACCGCTGAGCCAGGCAGCGACGGCGGCCGCGATAGCAACAGCGATAGCTGCAGCGAAACCGACATGCTTGTTGAAGATGGTGTGGATCTACCATTGCAGGAGTGGGTCGGTGAGGGCGAGCAAGCAGAAGCGCAAGGAGCTGTGGAGGAACACTGCGACGATGGGTACTTTTCGTGCGGAGGGTTTCTCGACGGACACGACTACCCGTCTGACCGGAGCGATGGTTCGCTCGACAGCGACCGAGACAGCGACCAAGACAGCGACGCCGGGCGCGACGGCGACGTTGAGCCCCGGGGTAGCAGTGCAGCAGCAGCGATGGGGAACAGGCGGGAACAGGGCGATTGCGGGTTCGGTGGCGATGTTGAACTTGGAGGAGCAAGCGGAGCACCAGCTATCGGCGGCTGCAGTGCAGCCGCCAAAACCGCCGCCGCCGCCACAACCCGACAACCGGCCACCGCTGTTCGACGGAGCTCGAGGGAAACGTCCAGGAAGGAGTATTTTCCCCCAAGACGCGCCAGCGCTGACCGCGTCGGGGGAAGTGGGTCCGGGCGGGGAGTGCGCAAGCTGCTGCGGGATGAGGTCCAGAACCCGCTGTTGAGGTTGAAACGCGAGACTGCCAAAGCTAAGCGTGTACACCGAAAGGCGAGAGTCCGGCTAGTAGGACAGTTGTGGACGAAGCAGCAGCTTGCACGCCAAGCGAGGAGGACACGCAAGCATTGCTCGGAGCGCAAGGAGGAGCTTGTCAGGATATTCCGCCAGGCGCTGGACAAAATAGACCAGGTGTGTTGTTCGTGCGTGTTTGTGTGCGTTTGTCTGTTTGTGTGTGATTGCTGTATTTTACGGCGGACGGCGTGGGTACCCTACACATGTCACAGTAATATGCATCTTTGCCCATTACCTGTCTATGGACCTCTGCTGGGTGCTGGTGCTGTGTACACGGGTGAATAGCGACTGTCATGTTTCTGTCTAAGCGGCACGTCAAACGACTTCTTTCGCATTGCACTTGTGTATGTATGCCGCTGTGCAGGCCGGCAACGACTACACGAGCCTGGTGGAGAAACCGGACACGATGCTGGCGCGAGTTCGTGCTGTTCGTGTCTGTCGGGTGATCGGGGCCGTCCGGACGTACCTTACCATGGAGTGAGTGTATGCTCGCCGTTCGCAAATTGAATTCGAAGAATGTGCAAGTCTTTAGGGGAGCCCCTTGGTTTGTTGAGAGCATCAACCCTCCACCCGTCCGTCCATCCCCATGTTGGTGGGAAAATGTGAGATCACGGTAAACATGCTTTCCGAGCTTGAGCCTTTTCTTATTCGACATTAGTTGCAGAAGGACGTCTTCATTGTTCCCCCCCCCCCCGTCCCCTCGACGTCTACCTGCGTCTTTTTCTTTTGCAATCTATGCAAAGTATGCCAACAGTAGGCGCATGCTGCTGCCCCAGTTGTCATGACCGCTGCCGTTGTCGATGTGCATTTTAGCTTGGTTGTACAAGAGCGCCTATGTTTGTAGTTACCTTTGTGCTGTGCCGACTGTACCTTGGCAGGATAAACGAGGGGGTGAAGAAGCTAGCGCACAGCCGCGCCGTCGGGGAGGCCGTGGGTGTCCACGCCCGGACCGTCCGGAAGTGGGTGACGGATTTCTGCAAGGACGGCAAGTTCGTTGTTCCCCATCGAGAGTACGTGAAGCGGCAGCCCTTCTGCTATATCGACGACGAGGATATCAGAGAACAGTGCCGGGAATACGTCGACGAGCGGATTTACCGTCGGAAGAAGGGGCAACCTCGCTTTCGGGTCGCC